CCAGGTACAGCATACACACTCAACTTCCGGGTGGTGACTTAAATCATGTTCAGAGTTTGAACAACATGGAAAATGTCTTAGGAATTTTAAGTGTAAAAGCATGATTAAGAAATGTTCTGTACTGAATATCGACTGTTCTTTAAAAGGCTTTGAAAACATTGGAGGGCCAGGCTGCAAAGTTACTAGCATGTCTCTGGGTAAGTGCATGGAACATTTTTTTTCATTGGAAAAAATTGCTTTGGGATACTGAGTATTTTTTTAAACAAGTGTCCTGCTCGGGGCTCCTCCCCAGCAGCCTCGTGGCTGAGCTGCTGTCAGGGACCTGGCTGGCTCAGGAAGGAGGAAGGAGCCCTAAGGACAGCAAGGGATGGCCCAACGTGGGACCCTCTTACACAAGGCTGAAAGCTGGGAGCAAGAAAGGACTCCTGGTGCCAGCACAGCTGACTGTAGAGACGTCCCTACAGCTGTGGCCTCGGCCCTTTACAGCTGAGGTCAAGTCCTTAGGTTCCCCTAAAAGAGGTTCCCGTTCCGGGCTGCTCCAGCTCCAGGAACAGTAGTGGCCGGAACACAGGCTTAAAATAGGCAGGAACCGAAAGAGGCCCTGCTCCCATTGCAAACGGTCTCATTTCCTCCACATCATGCTGGCCCACCACTAGCTCACTGCCCTAGGGTCAGGGGGCTTCTTGGGGCGCAAGGCACCAGGGAGGCGTCTGACCTCAGTGGCAAGCCCTGCGGTAATTCTGCACCCTGCTCCGTGCTGGGCCGGTGCCTGCTGCACCTCGTTTACTACCTGCCCTGCCCTCATGACAGCCCCAGCCCCCATTTACAGGAGGACACAGCCTGAGGGCTGAGGGCTTAGCTGGGGCTCTGCGCTCCCTTCCAGCTACCCTTCCAGCTACGTCTCCCTTCCAGCTTCCTTCCGCTGAAAGCCCCACCCCACCACTTCTGCCCAGTGCACAGGGTGGTCCCTGACCCGGCCACAGTGGATGCCAGCACAGAGGCAAGGCTCGCTGAAGGAGCTGCCCCTATTCTGGGTCATTTCATGACTCTCCAGGATGGCTAATGGCATCAGACGGGCCTTGACAAGAATCCCAGCCCTGCCACCTGGCATCTACGTGACCATGTGGGAGTCAACTTCCTCTCTGAAGCTCAGCTCCCCCACCTGCAAAATGGGTAGACAGAGACACCAAGATGCAAGGCAGATGGCTGGTGGAAGACACGCAGTGTCCTCCATCCTAACAGCCTCTCCGACACAAGCCATTCCACGTCATACCTGCCAGCTCCCTGAGCCAGGCCCAAGAGGCGCCAATTTTTCAGCTGGCCACTCAAACCACCATTCTAGCCAGGACTCCTGCACCCCTCTCCAGGCCTCTGCTCCTCTGTCCAGGCAAACTCTCCCAGCCTCAATCCTGGCCAAAGGCCACCACTCCCCACTCCCCTCCTTGGGGCGCATCAGCAGCTCCCTTCTCGGTGGCCCCTCTGCCCAGTGCTCACAGCTAGGCTATCCACACCTGACGGCAGGTCTAGGAGGGCCCCTTCTCTGGGGCCAAGCAGGTTAGAGCTTGAGCTTGACAAATTCTGCCACTTTCCAGCCTCAAGGCTCAGCATGTTCCTTCCCCTCCAAACTGTGTTCCTTCATCAGGACAAAGGGAAGATAACCTGCATCGCACGGTTATTTCAAAGATAAAATGAAAACGAAAGAATGCAGAGTGAACATACAACGCTGCTTCTTCCTGCTGTGTTCCAGACAGAGGGAGCATCTCCAGGCTGCCCTCCAGGGCTCGGCCCTGGGCCCAGGTCATGTGCCCAGTGCCTGACTGACAGAAGCAGCTGCCCCCTTGCAAGGGGGTGTGCCCTCACGCAGGCTGAGCTGGCGTCCAGAGCCCAGAATGCCCAAGCCCCTGGAGGCAGTGGCAGGCTTTGGCCACCTTCAGTTCCAGGTGTCTGCACCACACACCTGGCCACTGACCTGCCTGTTCTCTCAGCTCGAAGATCCGGAGCCAGTACAAGCTATCTCGGCCAGACTGCGGGCACCTTGTTCCTTGGAAACACACGCGGTTTCCTGGGGCTGCAATGCCACCACCCCACCAGGGCGACCACAGCCTGGCTACCTGCAGTGGGGTTTGCTTCAGCGAACAGTTGCCTGGGCACCTGGCTTCTCTCTCACACCTGTCCTTCCACGGCTGGAACCCTGGCCGACCCCCGCCTGGCAGGAAAATGCTACTGCAGAGGCTGCCGTAAATGAGACTGGAAAGTCAGGTTCAACCTACAATGTGCCTTTCATCAAGACAGCCCAGGCTTCTGCCCCATCTCACAGGGGCTGACTCAGAGATGACAACAGCTTCTCCAAAGTCACGCGTCTCCACCTGAGGCTCCCTGGACACCTTCCAAACAACCTCAGAGGGCACAGCACTGTTCTGAGTAATCTTTAAACAACAGCCTGGGCGATTTCGATCTACTCCCAAACCTCACAGGTCACCGCGAGCCGAGAGTAAGTGATGCAGTGGACGCTAACAGGGCTCCTTCCGGGGGCTGGAGTTCCGGGTTCCATGGGTCCCAGCACTACTCGACTCGGGCATTACGTTCCCATGAAGCTCTGCAGGGCCGGCAGGTGGAGGGGTGCTTAAGGACACTGGACACCCACATGGCCGACTGTGGTTCGAGTCCCGGAGCTGGCGGCTTGCTTTCTCACTTTCCCTCTCCCTCACTTTCTCACTCTGTCCCTAACTGGTCAAATTTAAATAAATAAATAAATAAATAAATAAATGTTAAATTAAATAATTCTTAAAAAAAAAAAAAAAAGTTCAATAACAATAACAAATGGAAATAAATAAATAAATAATTCTTAAAAAAAAAAAAAAAGTTCCTGTAAAGCGCTGAACATGCAATCTCTCATCTGAAATAGGAGAGATGGGCTACAGGGACCCTTCTAAGAAGTTAGGACTCCAGTCTCCTTGGCCACCCACAGCCTCCGTCTGCCAGTCCACACATGAATTCTTTCCTGCACGCACTGAGTTTCTGGGCTCCTGTCCCACCCTGGGCCCTGACAAGGTGTAGGCTGGGAATGCCTTGGGGCTCACTGCTAACTCGGGAGGCAGCTGTATAGACCATCACAATACCACAGCCATACCCAGAACAGAGAGGACACAGGCCTCTCTGGGCGTCCAGAAAGGTTCCCAGGGAGGCAGCACCAGAGCTGAGCCACGCAGGAAGACTTGCAGGTGCTTGGCAATGAGGAGGGAAGCTTTCCGGCAGAGAAACAGCCACCGACAGTACAGAGCTTCATGGACAACAGGTCACGGAGGGGAGCCACAGGCCCGGCATCTCTTGGCAGCTGGGCAGGGGCGTCTGCAGCCAGACTGGGCAGGGGTCAACCCTGCTGTGCCACTTCCGCACTGGCCATCCATGGGCCGGTCCCTGTCTCTCCAGTGATGTGGAAGTACAGCCACTACCTGGCAAAGCCGCACGGCCAGGGTGAGACTGGCAGCGGGAAGAGATCACAGGGACAGTGAGAGCCCCGAACATGCCCTGCACTCTGACCGCTGCTCCTGGGGGTGGCCCTCTGGGCCCCCTGGGGGACAGGGATTGTCTAATGAGCTGCCCTAGGTCAGAGGACAGCGGGGCCCTGTACAGTGGGGTGGGCCAGGGCCTGGAGCGGATGGTCCCTCAGACCTGCCCCGGTTCAGAGACTGTGCCAGGTGACAGGCTGGCCTGCCGGGTGGGCAGCAGGTACTCAATGAATGTTTTCTGAGTGAATTAGTAAGGGTTTTCCTATTTCTACTCAAAACTAAATCTTGACATCTTTCCAGGAAAGAAACCCAGAAGCCTGTTCCTGTCGGACATCCCCTTGTGATGTGAGAGGCACCACCCCCACCACTCCTGCCTCACCCCCCACAAGGAAAGCTTCATTCCAGGGCTGGCGGGTGGGACCTGCTGGGAGGAGTGTCTGGTGCCAAGCCTGAATCCTAAGGGGAAGTCCAATGTATTTCCTGTCCTCACCCCAGCCCCCAGGGCGTGGCCTGCTGAGGGCCCTGTCCCTGCTGTAGCTGACCTTAGAGGGAGGCCTGTGCTCGCTCTCTGGGACTCTCTCTGGGTGGAGGAGGGAATGCTGGTGGAATCTGCAAAGCTGCGGCCCCCTCAGAAACCCCCAGCCAGACTGAGGGTGGGGTGGGGGTAGCTGAAAATGTGGTACGTTCCAGGCGTGGAGAAGGGAGGGTCTTTTCATGGAGAAAATGACAAATGGAGACTCCAGGAGAGGGGGCTCCTCCCTAGCTTGGGTCTGAGCACCATCTATGAGTACTGGATTACCTCACCCCAGCCAGGCGGGAGGGAAGACCCCACCCAAGGCCAGTCCCAGGCCATGTCAAACAATAAGCCCCCCACCCCCACCAGCAGGGCTGGACACAGGGCCTCCTTAGACCAGAATCGCACCCAGAGAAGGCCAGGCTCCGCTCTCTCTGCCAAGCCAGAAGGTCCAGGGGCCACTGGCCAACAGGTCCCTGGTCAGAGCTGAGGCATGAGGGGACAGAGGGTGCAGAGACAAAGACTGCAGGAAGCCAGGACACAGCACTCCGTGTGCAGGGCACGCTTGCTGGAGACAGCCCTGTCGTGCTGGGCTGTCTCCCCAGACCCATGCCCACGCTCCCTGCAGCAGCACTGGGGTTCCCAGGAGAGAGCTTCCTAGCAAAGAAGGGGACTTGAAGAGCCAAACGACTGGGGAGAACAGATACAGGGACATGAGGGTGCAGGGGGGCTGGTGGAACCAAAAATAGAGACCCAGAAGCAGGGACGTGGGGGCGCATGGAGAGGACACACGGGGAGACCCAGAGGCACGCGCAGAGACAGAGACACGCCGACATGGCCACGCAGGGACAGGCACACACACGAGATGGCCACGCAGACAGACACGCAGGGACGCGGGCAGGGAGGCGCGCATTCGGCGACGCTCGGGGCCCTGCCGCCCCAGCCCGGCCTCGCCTCGCCCCGCCAGCCCCACTCACCCAGGCCGCAGACCTCGCGGCGCAGGTTGAGGCGGCCGCGCTCCTCCGCTATGGCGCGCAGCATGTGCTGCAGCGAGCGCTCTTCGGCCT